TGCAAAGTTAAATTTTAAAGAAATGTTGGAAAAATGTAAAAAATAAGTATTTCAATTAAGATCTTGTTACAGGGAAACAATATTTGTTGGCGTATTATTTTAATTTTTAAGCAAATATTTTTAAAATGTAAGGAAATTATAATTAACCGTTAAATCTTGAATTTAATATGTTATTTAATATTTTGTTGTACTTATTTCATCTTTACCATATTTTTCTGGTAAGATTTTGTATGCCTTTGATATCATGGCCTGCAGGGTCATCATACTTCATACTTCTTTATATAAGCATGTTTAAATTCTTCAAATTAACATATCTTTACCAACCTTAACAAAATTAGCGGCAATAACTTAATTATTTCATCAAACACCATTCCATAGTCAAGATTTATTTTCTGATTTTCTCACCCTTATACTTTTTTTTACAATAATTAAATTCTAAGTAAAGCACACACAGAACATTTTGAAGATATATCTCTTAAATTTCTTTTAACTTGAAGCATTATTCACACTTGTTTTTTTTAGGTCATTAACTTGATCAATGCTTAAGAGCATTTATTTTATGGAAGTGTTAGCATTATGAATTAAGCTCCTGTATCTTCTTAATGTTTAGCATATTCCTTCTCCTCTTACATAGTCTGTAAACTACTGTTTGCAAATAGAAGTTCATATACATGTACATTATGACATCAAACAGGTGGAATAAAATATCTAGTTGGCCCATGATTAGTTAACTTTGTTAGTGTCTCCAGGTACTTATAAAATTGCTCTTCTGTTTCAACTAGCAAATTATTTGTGAGTGAGTTTTAGGCACGCAATGAAGAACTTTTCCCATCCACACTTGACCTAAGTATTTTAGCATTCATTCATATTCTTTCTTAAAATGACAGCTTCATTAGCATTTGCAAAATGATGATTTTGCTAATTAAATGTTTCCTGCTGCATTTATTAGTAGATAATATTCTACAAAGAGAGAATCACTCTAATAGGAGATACATTTTAAAAACCACAATAATTAAACTATGGAAACATGAAAAACATTTAAATAAATTTGACAGTAAAAATCATTGGATATTTCAGAGTTTAAAACTGCCATTACATTTCATTTCCTCATATTAATTCTTTAAGCTATGCAAATTTGGTGCATTTCTTTTGAATAATAGACCTTGCAAAAGGAATACATACTTAAAATAAAATCTAAATTTAGCTTTGTGTTACTCAGACAAGTAGCCATATTTATGGATGTTAACAAAGTAGGCAAAGTAAGTGTTGAATCAGTGAATTTTGAAACTACCTATGCAATACTGTTTTAAAAGGTCATTGCGTCTTTGAATAATTATATCTTAAATTCTTACTGTGATTAATTATCTCTAGGGAATGCTTACTATTTTAGAAGGATCTGCTGAAAGGATCTAAAAAGAAAAAAAAGTAACATTCTGAAACCTAATTTTTATCAAAATCATTTTGAACAGATTTAGGTTTCCCACACAATCAATTCACCTGAAGGGCAATAATACAACATTTATGACAAGTGTAATCTAAGCAAATTATCAATAAGGCTTTGGATAACTAGAAGAAAATGCATGTCTTTATCACATTACATCATACTAAAATTTCCTATAAAGAAAAAAATAAGATTACATAGAAAGATGGAACTATTAAAGATTATTACATATATAATGACACATTATGGACGTATTTTACTTCAAGTGTTTACAATTCCATTTTTATATTTAATGGAATTGTATATATGTATGTATATATATATATACATATATATATATATAACTGTATATAATGTATATATGTATATACATACACAGCACTAACTATCTTTTGGAGAAAATAGCATGATTACTCTTATATAACTTTTATTCTGTTTTAGAGAATTCACACAAATATTTATATGCAATTTCAAATTTGAAATTTGAAAAATTCTTTGGAGATATATTCTACTAAAATAAGTCATGATCTGATTTTAAAAAGAAAATCTAGTAATAGTGAGATATCCAATTTCTAAGGAAATACAAGTTTGTTAAAAACAGGTTAAAAGAAAAATGAGAACCATGAAGGTGTTGCCAAAGACCAAAGCTGGAAACTTTTAAGAAAAAGAATTTGAAGAGTGGCATTGGATTATAACCGAATACAAAATTAAATATCTGTGTATCTATAAGCAGTGAAAAAATAAGCAATCATGAGACAACACACAGGCTTCCTGTGCTGAAGAATTTAAAATAAGTAGTAGAAGATGGCTCTGAACATGGTGAATTTTTCTATTCCCCACCCCCAACCCCCGTAACAGGGATCAAATTGATGACCATGCGCTTGTAAGGCAGGCGCTTATGCCACTGAGCTAAATCCCCAGCCTCAACATGGTGAATTCTGGACAGAAAGGAGAATAATTTTGATAAAGAATAATCTAATGAACCAAAGTGAAAAAGATTCTCAGAATTATAGTGATGTGGGCACACTTCACATGACCTGATGACAAAGATATTCTATTTCCTGCATTCCTACCAAAATTGTATAGCATCATTTGAATAATTCAAAAAGAAGCAGATAGATCCCATCCACTGACAATTGACAAAAAAATGCAGTACTGATCAAAGTGACAAAATCATACAAACAAATGTGTATATAAACAAACAGTCTTAGAAAGTGTTATATCTGATAGCAGCAACAGTCCTGGTGACCACAGGCTATTTGGTTGTGTTGAAGGAAATTCAGTCACAGCACCAAGAGATAACAATATGGTTTTCAAAAAATTAAGAAAATCTGCAGAAATGTGGAACATAGTTTATTATAACACTTGTTCACTAATTCTAACAAATATACCACACTAATTTAAACTCTGAATAGTGTAGGATGTTAGACGTAGAGTAAGCAGGATTTTCTGTATAGAGTTTATGACTGATCCAACGCCCAATGTTAGGATTATGGGTGAAACTTACACCTAAGTGGGTGTGGCCTATACACAATATAAGGGGCAGAAAGAATCTTCTCTCAATGCTCCTCCCTTTTTGCTTTCTGCTTTTGTTGTTTCCTGTCATCACGAATTTTTGCCCTCTACCCATGAGCCACCTGCCTTGAACTCATCCGATTATGGACTGAAATCTCTACAAACTGTAACTAAATAAACTTTTCCTTCTTTAATTTTATGAGTCCAGTATTTTTGCTCAGCAATGAGAGAAAAGTACCTAAGACAAATACTATTCTAAATTTTTTAAGGTTTATTTTTCAAAGTCTATGTTTCTAAATTCTGGATTAGACCTTAGAAAACAAGAAACTAGTGAAGAGGGGAAAATTCTCAAAAAGGATGTAATATAGTTAGCATTACATCTGTTTGAAATTTACAATTATAAAAATGTACTCTCATAATCATGACTGTCATTGTGACAAAATGTATCAATAATTCCACACATAAGGAGAAAAAACATCATGACTATAGGTTCAGAGATGTCAGTAAATGGTTGCTTAGGTCTATTGCTTTTGGACCTGTGGAAGGGCATGTCACAGAGAGGCTGTCACAGAGAAAGTCACATCGTGGTAGGCAGGAAACAAACAAAGACAGAAAGCTCTGATTCCAAATATCATCTTTAAGGATATAACTTCAAAGAGTTAACTTCCTTTCACATGTACTAAGGTGATCTAAATTGTTAATATTAGTGAAAACTAGAAGAAAGTCATGGAAACATTGCCTATAGGTGTGGTGCTACTTCTCTGTTATCTGATGATTATTATAGAAAGTTATTTAAAAACAGAAATGAATATGCATATACAACAGACTCAAGAAAACAAATGAATTTCTTAATGTATTCAAAATGAGTCATTCCTGGATCATATGAGTTCCCAGTGTAAACGCCCTGGTTCGATCCTCCTTATACCTGGATTATATGATTTTTGAAGGAGCTAGTGCAAATGACTGGGGTGTAATATCCAATAACATAAGAGGGGGATAGAGAGAGAGAGAGAGAGAGAGAGAGAGAGAGAGAGGAAGAGAGAGAGGCAAAGAGAGGCAGAGACAGAGACCAAATGTAATACTGAATTAAGTTTTTAAAAAAATGTATCAGCACTCTCATATAAAAAGACCTTATCTCTGATCTAAGAATACTGATCTAGTAAAATCATTATCAACATATACTCCAACAAAATTGTTATATACTAAAAACAAACATCTGGAGCATATATAGACAAAAGAAGTAGATAAGATCGGGAAGAAAATTAGATGATAAATAACATATCCATATGATTCCTTTATGGAAAAATCTCTTCTGTTTACTCTTCCATTCCATATAATAAGAAATATCTCTGTCTCTGGTTCACATTATTCTAAGCCAAAACACAAATCCTTTCAGCCAGTCAATTTACCAGTAAAGGTTCAGGTGACACAATCCTACCAAATTTGTACATAAACAATTCCTGGCTATCATGATTATTTCAAGAATAAACATTTTGCCTACTTTCTAAGCAAAAAAGTCATGAGAAGTATATGATTAATAAAAAATAAAAACCTATTTTTATTAATAAAAAATAAAAACACATACTTGTTTTTTTCTAGATTCATGCTTACAAGACAGGATTGAGACTGCACAAATTTGTCACCATTACATGATTTTGAGAAATCAATACACAGAGTAGAGAAAAAATGGATTCTTTCTTTGATGAATTATTTAACATCGTAATTAATATGGAACTGAATTATTATAATTCCTGACTTTTAAAAAATTTTCTTTTTTCCAAAATGTACTTGAATTAGATTTTTTGGTAATTGAACAATCACAGTTTTCATGTTCTACATAGTTTCATGTTTCTACATATTACATGTTATATAGTAACATGTCCAAATAACATGATTATTTGTCAGAGCAGTTATGTTTGAATGCTATTAGATATATCAAAATCATGTGACAAAAATGATTAGTTAAAATATTTTTAAACAAATATTGGTAAATGTATAAACTGTAAGATTTTATTTGCATATTTAGAATCCTATATCTTTTCAATTTTCCAAGTACATTTCAATAATCTCTATTACATGAAATGTGTAGTTCTAGGTGTGAGAAATTTGAATAGGATTAAACCAGTGTAACACTGAATGAATAGAACAGGACAAACAGAAAGTTGAGGAAACTAATGGCCTTGCTTTCAAAGTTCTGATGAACATATAGATACTGATAGCCACCCATCCACATGTGTATTATGTATCAGGAATCCATACATTCATAACAATACTTGCTTGACTCCATGCAGCATTTTAATTTGTATCTCTTCCACTGATACAACACCATTTGTCTTTCACTGAATTGCCTGAAAGTGGACATTGACATGGGGATTTTTGTTCAGTTCAAATGATTACACTTATTAAATAACCCATTCCTCCTCCCCACACCCCTGTTAGCAACTGGTGGACAGGACAGCTAGAGTTGAAGCAACTAAACCACATACAGCAACTGAATGCTTATATTGTTGGGTTGATTATGCTGACCTGGGGCCAGAGGTCTGAGCATCTCTTGGGAGGATGACCGTATGAAATATAGCACATATGGGGAATTTCCTTCTCTCTTCTCTTTTGAGGCAAATATTGTTTGCTTTGTTCTGATTAATTGTTTTGCTCGATTCAGTACTCTGTTTTGATATGTTTTATAATGTTCTGTTTTTGGTTTGATTTTCCTATACCTAAATTGAATGGACAACTATTGTGAAGATAACATGATATACTATAGTACCTCTTACCGTTAATCCCAGTATCCTGCTCTGAAGTTATGTACCAATTTCACTGCATTGTCTCGATTGGCTTTCTTCTGTCTTGTTTTGTTGTATTTTACTACCTTCAAAATAAAAGAAGAAGAAGAAGAAGAAGAAGAAGAAGAAGAAGAAGAAGAAGAAGAAGAAGAAGAAGAAGAAGAAGAAGAAGAGGAAGAGGAAGGAAGAGGAAGAAAGTCAGTAAATAAACTGGGATAACATAAGAAAAGAAAAGCTATAGAAGAATTAGTTTTCATCTGTGGTCTCATTGTATTAAGCCATTTGAAAGCTATGGGTAAAATTGTACCACAAACACACTTCCCCCTCCACAATCAGAGGGAAGAAACTTGTACCTTCAGCCACTGGCTAAGAAGGTCAGCATTCAGATGTGAGATTTGGAGACGCTCTCAGGAAGAAAATATTTAGTTTTGACACACTGACTAAAACTCCAGAGAGAGAGGAATTGCTAACAACACTTTCGGTAAATGGCAAGGTCAAAGGGGGTCTAGCAGGACTTTATCAACTTCCAATTCTTCATGTTCATCTTGGTTAAAGCATTTTTAGACATATTGTGTTCCTGTGAGCTGTAGTTCAAGTCTGTCTTACCAGAGACAACTGAGCCTAACTTCCATATTGTTTGTATAGCACTTTAGCCTTGTTTCTATGATCACTTACTGCAGTACGATTTAATTCCATACCGAGAGCATGTCTTCCTGAGTCTGAGAGTTACATGTCATTAATAATTAAGAAGGATTAATCTTTATTTTCTTGGCCACAAACTCAATGATTAAATGATATATTTTTATTGGTTGTATATGTGTTAGCTTTTAATTCTTTGAAGGCTCTGGCAAAGGAACAGACACAAAGTTGAAATTCTGGAATTCTAAGCTGGTTATATAGAGTGATAATTTAATGCCAACTGTTTTGAACAAAATAAACAGTTAACCACAAGGCTGTTCAGAAAGTCTTTTAACTATAAGCCTCAATTCCTTAACTTAACACAGGAATAATAAATGATGCCATGCATCTGTTTCCAGGGCTAATTGATACATAAATTATGTAAAGGGGTAAATCCAATAAAAAATGTTCAGGGTATACTAGGAAATACTTTATTGAGCTATATCCTTGATGATTTAACTGAAACCTTACTACTGATTACAAGAACATTTCAAGTGTTTAAATGTTAACATTTAAATGGTTTAAGTATTTTAAAAAAGTCAAAAGATTAAAATTAATGAATATTACACTTGATTTTTATATTTTCAGTTTGTATTTTAGCAAATATGGTAATCTCATCATACATGACAGAAGATACCACACATACTGTTGCTTTTCCTGAAGCTACTGCTATTACTCAGCTCTGTACATACTCTCATTACCGAGGCTGCAATTTAATCTGGCAGAACTCAGTATAACACATTAATGTCATCATGTTATTGGTCCCCAAAAGAAAGTTTTGTGTTTTAATCACATATAATGCTATAAATTTATAAAAGATATCTAAGCTGTGACAGAATACATGAAAAGAAAATACCTTAAATAACAAAGACCTAACTCTAGCGGCTTTTTAAATTAATTCAATTTATTTAATCAAGGATCTCACAAGATTCTGCTCACTAAATATAGCAGTGTTTCACTGGATCCAGGAATACATACAGATCATCAGATTATTCCTAAGACTGACTTCTGATCTATTGGAAATGTGGCTTCAAAAAACATAATTCCCCATTCTGAACTGCATCAGTAACACTGAGATAATAGTCCCTTCAATGTATTCCCATTTTCTGAAATTTTGATAAGAAACATTATTAGAAATGTAGACATCTAATTTCAGATAAAAGATTTCATTTTCACTGTTTCTTTTAAACTATTTCTTAGTTTCTTATTGCTTGTACAGCATAGCAGACACTCATAAATCAAAGGTGAAAAGAATTACTTTAGCTCATAGATGGTGAAGGTTTAGTTGAACATCCCCAAGGCAAATGAGAAACTGCTCATTCTATGGCAGACAAAAAAGCGACGAGCCTGCCTTTCTTCTATGCTTTTGAATTCTACCCAGGCTACAGGACTATTGTTTGGTGCCACTGCACTCAGGCTTTCCTTCTTCAGTAATTCCATCTCCCGTGACCATGCTAAGCCAAACCCATCTAATGCAGCACACTACACCCACAATCCAGCTGCCTCCTCAAAGCCCTATCATGAACTCAAGAGGTTTTGTGACATCTAGACATGAACTGTAGCAACTATTTTAAATGTTTTGCTCTCTTTTTATAGCTCCATATTAATCTCTGGAGAATCCTGTGGTTCACAATTTGTACATTAATATGTATAATACAAAGAATGGTAAGTATTGCCTAGTTTCTCATTTTTGTAAAAAGTTATGAATAAATAAAAAACATTGAAAATGTATTGGACTAAACTAGATTCAGTTAGTTGAAAACATTGTAGTTTGTGTACAACCGTGTAGAAATAAAATTGTCAAAGATGCTTCTATTGATTGATCTTTACATACAGAATATGGAGCACTTGACTCTTACAAGTTGATTTATGAATACTTCTTGATAAAACTGATCAACCTAATGAAATACAATATTTAATCAATAAAACTAAAAATATTCACAAGTCATTCAGTTTCTCACAATTTAAACGGCCTGCTTTTTTTTTTTTTTTTTTTTTTTTTTTTTTGCAGTAGAGAGGTGTTCTACTACTAAGCTACATCACCAGTACTATTTACTATCTTATTTTGAGATGGCAGCTCTTTCAATTTCCCAGGATGGGCTTAAACTTGAAGTCTATCCAAGCTTAGCCACCTAGCAGTGGGATTATTAAGAGATGCCACAAACGCCTAGCTTTAATGTACTTGCTGCTTCACTTAGATTCTCACAGTGTGATGTTCTCTACCTTTTTGCATAATATGCCAATATTTTCTGGAACTTTTCAAACTCTAAGATTAGTTTCTCACAATAAGCATTCATTCACACACCCTAGTGACAGACACTTCTTGAATGTGCACAGTTTGTCTAACACTATACTAAATGCTTAGGCAAAGACAGCATAATTTCAAATAAAAGAAAAAGAAGCATATTAACTCATTATCTGATAAGTTTTGCAAATAAAATATGATCTACAATATTCAGCGTAATTATTTGATTACTTTAATGACATAATTACAGGTGCTTAATATAATGTTGTAATTTTTTAGATATATCAAAATCACTGATTTTATACCCATTGTAATTCAGTATTGAATTGAATTTAGTCAATTATCCCAATGATTGAACCCACTACAGCAATGCTATACTCTTTCAGAGGGTTAGTGAACACCATCAGAGGGTTTCTAAGGACAAAGTTCAGTTAAATCAAGTACTCTAAAATAAATATTGAAAGTTGTTTTAAATCCCCAATTTTGACATGTGAGCAAAATTTAAAAATTGAAATTTTGCCAGTTTTGTTTTCTACTAGAAATTCTACATCTTATTATCAGAAATCAATGTATTTCTCTCCTTTAAATTTGTGCAATTGGGTACTTTTTTCTTTAATTATTGGTATATGTTCTAAGTTTATTATGAATAGGATATACAAAGTTTCTATTACCAGCCAAGCCATGTATTATTCGGAAAGATGTAACATAACATTCTAAATTCAGTGGTTATCATGTCCTGAAGAAACTGTAGAGTAACCAACTGTGGGACAGTGGAAACTACTTTCAATAGCTGTGCAGAGACAGCCTTTGTGAAGAAGTAACACTGAGCAAAGACTCAAATGAAATTAGTGGGTATGCATGCTTTCTAGGAACATCAGGTGTATACGGATGCCATAGGGGCAAATGAGCTTGGTGTATCTCAGCAACAGGACAATGCTTCCCTCACCCCACCTTGTTAGACCTCTGTGATCATTCACATTTTGCCAGGCACTTTAACATTCTTCCCCCCTCTCTGTATAATTCCCAGGACCTACTTCATTAAAAATCAAATCTGTTTTTAAATGGTGCCTAAAACTATTTCATATAAATTAAGCACTTCTATTTCTTGGATCCAATTATCCTTCAAGTCTAGTCAGAGAAGTAAGAACCTAAAGTTATGCTTGGATCACAAAACCTCTCTTTCTTCAAGATTTAAAACACACTAACACGTAACTCAATCTTTCCCTGAACAGATCATGGTAACTATCACAAAGTTAAATAAAATTATAATCAACTATTCAGAAGAAATTATACTGATCACTTGACTAGTAAACTTAAACACTGTGCCTGTTGCCCTTTCTAAAGAGGTGAAAATCATAAAATCTTGTGTAGAGAAATTATCTAATCTTACCCTTAACCTCATTGTCCTCCATATACTAATTTTTCTAATTCTGTTTCATTGACTTTTATTAATATATGCTTGTAATACATAATGATTACATTCACTGTAGGGAACTGGTATATGTTCATAGCACATTTCAAATATTATTTTTCCTTTCCTTCTACCTCATTTTGCTTTTGAGCATCAGAGTCATTTATTTTATAGCTTTTTAAGTTAATTATCATATATTCAGACTGAAAATCAGACTAATAGGTTAAAGAATGTATAAAATATGTAAAACAATTGTAATAAAATAAGATTCAATATTAGATATAGTGACTGCACTAGATTAGAGTACTTTTCCTCTATATTTTTTAGTACCAGTCCTTTACTTTGTATATATAGTTTTTCGCAAGTAAGACTTTGAACAAGATTTTGGTGAGTGTAGAAAAATATTTCCATTGCACTGATTATTTTACATTTAGACAGTCATTACTTATTCAGTGAAAATAGAATTCTTATCACAAATATTCCTAGAGCACATGATATTCGAAGTCCTGTCATTCAGCCTTTCCCCGTGATTATGCTGGCTATAGCAACTGTGCTGTTACTGCTACAATGCAGTAAGTAAATACCAACAGAGAAAAGAATAAAAACATTTTCCTCTTAAAATTAAGAGGAGAAACCTTGTCTACCATAATCTCCTTTTCTTAGTCTTTAAATTTTGAAATGTACATGATTTTTTATAAAAGCTAAACATCCTATCAGTTTTAAGGCCTAGAAATCACTTTTTCAAGGACCTACTGATGACCTCTGAAACACAACAGTCGAGGAAAATAATAGCCCTATATCTACGTCTCTATAAGAAGGGAATAGAATAATTTTGGTGAGCATTTGGTTCCAAGAAGCAAACTACTGCTTGTCATAGAAGTCTAAGTTTATCCTCTCGATAAAACAAATTAGTTAAGATGCATGATCACCAGAATTCTCAGGAAAATCTGGGATGAAATATGGGTGACAAATGGTGCTGTTAAATCCTCTAACTTGAAAACAAGTTCTGTTGTCGTGAGAGCGTGCAGGTAATGAGTTGAATCCACTTGGCCCTAGAGAAGATGAGACTTCTTTCCACTTTTGAATTCTCTTAAGGCACTGCCAGGTCTGAGCATCACAGCCTGGTTAATAATTATTCCACAATACAGTGCATTTTCCCCTCTTCACCATTGTAGAGAAGTATTCTGAGTTGGGAGGACATTTTGTTTAAAATTTATTTCTCCAGCAATTTATAGACTGCTGATACTGAGCAAGAATGGAGATTGGTAAAATCTCTATTTGGAACTAATCAAATAGGCTGACAGTTATAAAATGTACATCAGGCTGTGGAAATTTATATGCAAACACAGAAGAAGCAGACATTGTATTTAATAACTGAAAATGTATTAGTGAGACAATGTCAGACTCCAAATGGTGGTTTGAAGACTAAACATTGAGTTATAAGATGTAGCCTCCAGAAAGGTAACAGAAACTGTAACCAGAGTCTTCATTTTATTTAACACTCTGGGTTTCTACTGGTGTTTTCTACTTCATTGCACTGAAGAGAACAGTGTGTCTGTGTGTAACTGTGTATGTCTGTATATATTTATATCTAAATGTATCTACAGATATATCTAGACATTTATATCTGTATCTTAATCTTTTTTGTTTCTGTTTCTCTCTATCTGTCTACCTATTTATATATAAAATGTTCTTCCTTAACAAAGTTACCTGCAAGAACATTCATTTCTTAGAATATACTGGTCAAGAATATGTCAAAAAATACAAATTATATTTCCAAGAAATATTTGTCTTTCCCTAAACAAAGAATTAAGCAAATGAACTTTTAAGATTTTATTTTACTGTTTATTTATTTATTGATACCAGCAATCAAACTCATGAACTTGCACCTGAAAGACAAAGTCCTGTGCCACTGAGTTGTACCCTCAGCCCTACTCTTGAAATTAGAAGTAAATTTTTGCTCCACAGTGAACTCTATCTAGCTGTACAGCCTTCGGATGTTGCTTGGAATAGAGTAGGGCTCTACTCAGCATCTTCAAACAGTTTAAGATCTTTGAGTCTATCACCCGGGTCCTGGTTTGGCCCCGCCCAGCAATCCTCAGGTAGCTGTGAGGCTCTGTGTGTGAGCTGAAGACCTCCACAGCAAACTCTATCTAGCTGTGCAGCTAAGAGACTTTGCTCAGAGCCTGATAGGGACCTACCTAGTATCCCCAAATCCTCAGGGACCTTTGGGTTATGGAATAGGTCCTGGTTGGGCCCTATGCAGTGACCCCCAAGAAACCAGGAGCTTCCAGGTGTTGAATGACACAAGCTGAAGGCCTCCACAGTGAACTCCACCTAGCCGTGCAGCCTTGGTATGTTGCATAGAACCTGGTGGTCCCCACCCAGAGACTCTAAGAAGCCAGGGCACTTTGGTGAGTAATGTGACATGAGCTGATCATGTGCCTACTGTATGCCACATATCATTCAGGCTTAGTATGCCACTCAGAACCTGGTAGGGCCCTGCCCAGTAACATCAACAGCCAGGAAAGTTTGGTGAGACATGTGGGATGTACTGAAAGTCCACTCAGTGACCCAGTGAACCCCATATATTTGAGCAGCCACTAGAAATGAAGGAAGGACTTCCTAGTGTCCTCCACTCACCTAGGGAAACTTCCTGCAGTGCAGACAGCAAGCCTCAATCCAAGAAACTACCGATACTTTGCATTCAACTTGCTGAGGGGAATTTAGGAAAATGACAAAATGAAACAGCAAAATGCAATCACAAACTTCCAGCCCATCCCAAATGAGCATAGAAGACACAGACATAGAAAAAAATGTAAGCCATGCATCTGAAACTTCAACAATAGTAGTAATTGAAGTTAAGAAACTCCATGAAGCTCTAAAGGAACTCAAATCACAAATAATCTCCTAGGTAAAACAAGAACGTTTATAATGAAAGAAATACTGAACACATGTAGTTAAAGCATAGTTAAAAAAAATAGAAGAACACAACAAAATGGTTGAAATCTTGAATAAACAATATAAGAAAGAACGAGAATGCACAAGATGGACTTAAACACATATCCAATAAATCAAAACTTTCATTGAAAGCTGGCAAAACCACCCCAATGAATGCAAAGGTGGACTTTCAGCCCTCAATAATAAGGTTGGCTAGAGTCTTACCAATTTTATTTGTTCTTTCAAAGAACTGAATTTTTGATTCATTAATTCTTTGTGTTGTTTTCTTAGTCTCTATTACATTGATCTCCATTACTTTGATCATTGATAATCTCCTCCCTTCTTTGAGCTCGAGGTGCTCTTCTTTTTCTAAATGTTTGAGGTGTAGCATCAGGTTGTTTGTGTTCATTCTTTTTTTTTTTTATGTGGGAGTTCACTGTAATAAATTTTCCTCTGAGGGCTGCTTTCATTGCATTCAACAGGCACCAATAAGTTGCATTTGTATTTCTGTTTACTTGTAGATATTGTTTACTTTCTGCTGTGAACCATTGATTGTTAAGGAGTATATAATTTAATTTCTATGTGTTTATGGAATTTTTCAGGTTCTTTTGTCATTAATTTCCAGTTTTATAGTGCTGTGATCCGATAATATGCATGGGATAATTTCAATTCTTTTGCATTTACTTAAACGTGTTCTATGGGCTAGTATATGGTCTGTTTTAGAGAATGTCCCATGTGAAGCTCCAAAGAAGGTATATTCGGTTGTTGTGAGGTGGAACACTCTGTACACATCTATTAAGTTCATAAAATTTCTTAATTTATGTTAACTTATTGTGTGTGAGGGTATGGGCAACTATTTGAACAAAAACGAGAGACATTATGCTAGCCACTGTTGATTTCCTGTTGTCCTGTTCTGAAATCCTGTTTTATTTGTATTGTTTTGCTCTGATCTGCTTTGTTCTGTGTTTTTTTTTTTTTTTTTTTTTTTTTTTTGGTATGTTTTTTTTTTTTTTTCTTTAAAAACAAAAGGAAACTTTATCATGAATCTTAAAAAGCAAGTACAGGCTTTGTAGCAAATAAAACAGAGTTAATTTTGTTTTGTCCAACATAATGTTAATGAAGGCAAAAGAAACAATTATTTGAAAACACTGAGCATTCAATTTTTATTGTCACTTTTTTTCTCTAAAAGTTTAAATCTTCAGTCATATTAATTTATAACTTTCTGAGCAGCTCATTCAATTAATGTACATATCACCAGACAATGCTGTTTTGTGCATGTTTTTCAGCATAGGAAATTACAGGAATTCTATCATTATTTACTATTTAATCAGGGGAACAGGCTTAGTGGAGAAATTCTAAATTCTAAGGGAACTTTCTCAGACCAGAACATCTCAGTGAGTAGAAACACTTGAGGAAGTTCAGCAAAGTCAGAAAAGAAAAAGCATGTGAAAGAAAACAATAGGACTCATGACCTAAGAGCAAAGGAAATTTGTACTGTACATCTGCCTCTGTGCTCTTGGCTGTTAAGCCTGTGTCAGCTCCCAGGTGTATCCTTGTGTCTGTGTGTGTTTCTTTTCTCATACAGCAAGAAATTAAAATATGCAGTTTCATTTATCATAATGCTGAATACTGTAATTTTTGAGATCTATAACAAATTATATAACCAGAAATATAATTTAAATAGAAAAAAATTGATTTTTGTTTCTGTGTATTGTGTAGCTGTACAATATTTATTTTTGAAATGTCAAACATTTCAGGGTAGTATTTACTCCAAACTCATTTTAATTAATTGTATATATCTACCTTGCATGCTAAAGAAACAATTTAAATTTCCAATCTTATTTCTAACATCCCAGAAAATAAAAAAATAATTCAGATTGTTCATAAATACTGATTTTCTCATGATGCTAATACCTTATATGTATGTTTAATCACCTCATTTTGCATAAATATAGCATAATTAAACTTTATTGCTTGTAATTTACACCATAGATAATTGTAACTGAAAGGTCACACTTGCATTCTACACCACACTCTAAAATAGAATTCCTTTCTGGACGAATAAATGTTTAGTAATAATAATTATCTTTGGAAGTATTTTTATCTAAAATTACTTTAACTTTAGAAGAAGTCAATGTTATTATTTGGTATTCTCAAAGAAAAAAATAGTTGATATAATAGGAATATATGTTCTTAGTGAAATACAAAAGATGTTGGAAAGTGATTTTCTAACATAACTGTGGCTGTTCAATTTAAATTTGAATGTTAGTGTGGAAAAGTGGTTTTTTTTTTTCATTTTTAAGAATTTGGTCTTTAACCTTTATTTATAACTGAATATTTATAAAATGTGAAGTTTTCAGCAAGAAGCTGAACTCCTGAAACTAATATGCATAATGTAGATGATTATCAAGCTTTTGGTGAATATCAATTTGGTAACTGTCAACTTACCTATCCATGTAAGAGAACTGCCTCGATAAAGAAAATGATGCTATTTAGAATACAATGTTATTATTCCAGAATATGTTAAAATATGTAGCACACTTGAATTTAAAAGTATCACAATGCTTGTTAAAATAATAGAGTATTTTCTTTAAACCAATAATTAGTGCAAATGTGATACAAGAAAGACGTGGCCAAGCCCTAATTTGCCACCATCTGTGAGTGATAACTATTTTAAGTCACTATATTTGTGGAAATTTGTTAAGGAAGCAGTAGAAAACTAACAAAGGGAAAGAATCCAGGGACAGAATGCTTCCTCAAATCTTGAACATCTTTAAAATTTATAACCATAGATTTTCCAATTTCTAAGAAAAGAAAAAGAAGCACCTGGGGAACTAATGGTGTAGTGAACATTTTGAATAGTAACTTGTCAATTTCTTGGCAAATAAGCTGGATAGCTCTCATCCTTTCTCTACTCTGGGCATTGGGTCATTCTCATACCTGAAAAATCTAACAAACTGGAGACTAAGGAAACATTCTATTTTCTTGCTATTCTATTGTTGGCTCTAGTCTCCAAATCGTATGTACTAGGAAATAATGTAGCTTGGGATTTATCAGGTAATTCTGGTTTACGCATAATTTAAATTAGAGTTTAGAAATCTGTTATTCCTGAGGAAAGGCAGAGCCTTGGGAAATGAATTCCTATTTCATCGTTCATGACAGTCTCCAAGATGCAATAGCTACAATTATCTTTGATGTTACTGTTTCCTATGATTTGATTGTGACTGATAATCACGTAATGCTCACTGTTTGGTGTGCATATTTTGGGGTATCAAGCTTAATGTGTAGGTATCCAGACAAACTATGCTATTATGTCTGGTCACATTAGTTTTTGTTGATAGGTTCCATCACTACATTTGCAGTGCTTTTCTAGATACGTTTTGTCAAAATTTGTCATGATTATATTTTTAAAATAATACCTTATACCAATAGAAAAAAATAGCTTCATCTTCTCACACAATATAGTATAAAGGCTCAAGTCTTATGCTATACTATTCTATTAATGATGGATATAACTGAAGCATGGACCCGTTATGGAGAATATCACAGGAAACCAGGAAATAGGGAAAGAGTTCCTGCATTATGGCAACAACCGATGGCATAACTGGTACTGAATTGTCTTCTTCCAATACTACAATGGATGTGAAATGTTGACATTACTGACACTTTCTTTTTGTGATGGTTTTCTTACAAAAAACCAAAAAAGACTAATACCATTTTGTTTCCATGATGCAGGACCAGCAAGACATCTTTGCACTTCTTTAGAAAAGGTATGTAAAGGATTTATAACATTTCATCAATCATTCAGACAACTCTTGGAATATTATTAGCTAAAATTATATATTGAAATATTCATTTTTAATGAAGATATCCCGATGATGGCTCTGCACAAACCACGCTCACAAGATTAACTGAAGATGTGTGGGTCTTGAACAATATAAAATGTGGAGCATACTGCTCCAATGCCCTTTACTGGGAAGTGGACACAACACAGCCTATTAGGGGTTAACCAGATCCCCATGGCTTTGGCTATTTTCACAAAGAGATGCAATACATCCATGATACAGAACCAGTATATAATTTTCTGGGCTCCTGCTACATGAGAGTTTCTTCACCTATGAACTTGTCACTCAGTAGATGGAATAATTTGCTGATAAAACAACCCACGTGCACTGTGACATATCTGGTGCAGTGCTCTTGCAGTCTACCAGAAGCAGAACTGAGTGTGTGTGTCATGAAAGCTTTCCACAGTAGTCTAAATTTCACCTCCTGCTTTTGGATATAAGTGTGTTGTTTTCAAGAATATGGATTTACAGCTCACAGATATTTACAAATCAAGACCTAGCTGCCTCATAATTCATTATGACACCATGGTATTAACAACAAACTACATAGTGATAGGATATCCATTTAATTTAGAATCTCTCTCTCTCTCTCTCTCTCTCTCTCTCTCTCTCTCTAATTATTACAATAATTAGTATAGTGAACTACTTCTGTCCATGCATACTGGCATACTGATGAGATCAGGATAATTAGCATATTCACCACCTTGAACACCTATCATTTCTTTAGGTTGCGAGTATTCAAAATTCTCTCTGCTGGCTATTTTGAAATATATAATCAATTGTTTCCAATAACAGTTAACTCATCATACTATTGTACTCAAAACAATAAATACAATAGCTATGTATCAAGTAAAATATAAAATAAGAAAGTAAATGTTTTGATTGTGGTAAAATATAGGTAGTACATTTAAACAATCTGTAGTGATGGGAATTACCACAAAGGAAAAAGATGTTTCTATACACATCTATGCTATTTTAGGAAGAATTCTACAAGACCTACTTTCAGTTGTTTATAAGTTACATGCAATCATTTCTACTCTACCGAAGCTAAATTCTTAAATGTCAAGAGTGATGCTAGACAATGTTTAGAAATAAAACATAGTCCTTTTATTATTTTCCATTTTTGTGACTGATTTTTTTTTTTTATTTCTGGAAGGCCCTTTTATATCTTAGCTCACAACAGAGTTTTTGTTTTTTCTTTTCTTAAAACTTGAGAATAATGCAAAGCTTCTCTCCAATGTCCTTATTTTGTCTTGTCCATTATGGGGCTACCCAATAATCGACCCTACGCTCTACAGTAACAGTCTATGTGCCACCAAAAGATGTGCAGGAACCAGACAAAATCAGTATGTTGACTCCAACTGCAGGGATACTGTGCCTCTAGGACTAATATTTTTTTGTTGTTGTTTCTATAAAAGAAGGCCTTCCCCTTCCTCCACCTGGCCAGGAAGTTTTATTTTCTTCTAGGAAAAAAAATAAATTATTTGACAAAGACCCAAAATTTTGTTATCATCAGTAACATTTCCTCTTACTATCTTGGTACTCACACTATGATCTGTTTTGGAGGTGCTGAATTTGAATCCTTAGTAGAGGTTATTATGAACCTCAGGGTATGATCTTCAGTTTGGGTGATACTGGATTAGAATTTCCTGATCTGATTACCTAAGTCTTTATTGCTAAGAACAGTATTAATTGTTTGTTCTGTCTCTTGTTAGAAAAAAGATAAAGGCTGCTTACCTTTCGAGGCAAGTCTACTCACATCGTAAGCTATGTATGCAGAGGAAGTACATCCTATATTGCCATCGCTTACTCAATAGAAGCCTGAAATATTCCTTTACATAGAAGGACTGTGCAAGCTCAAGGCATTGTTTGAGTTCTGCTTCAACTCTGCTTCTCCACGGTGGTCAATAAATCCTTTAATACATTTCCATTAACGGCTTGAGGCACGACTCACTGTGGATAACAACACACAGAATCCTTGTGTCATGAGGCAGGGCATAGAAGTATGTTTCACTTTCTACTCAGATTGTAAATATCTACAGTATTAAAGCAGAATTTCAAATCTCATGTAATCTAGAAATGTCTACATGTAAACTATTCAATAGGATATTTTTGTGAGGAAATTCCATCTTTATGTGATGGAGTTATTTAAGTTTCCAGAAACTGCATTTTCTCTCTCCAACTTGATTTTATGTAGCATATTACTGAGTAAAATATTTTATTAATTATTGAATATCTCTGCATATAGTCTTCAAAATGATAAAAAACAAAGATAAATATTACTGAATGAGTAGAATGAAAAAGCTTTTCTATAATTTTAAATTGTCCTGTTTCTATATGTTGCTTATTTTACTCAGTAATATTATTTTTATACAAAAGAGAGCACAAGGTAACTTTCTGTTGCTTTCCCCAGGAAATAATACTGATAAACTTATCAGTAAATATTTCAAGAAAAATATGTCTCTTCATATGCTACATTTCCATGTAAATAAATCTGTTCATTACTGTGCTAAATTTCTGTGGAGAAGGGTTTGAACAAGGTCTTCTCTTCAGCTTAGGTTAGCTTTGGATGCATAACTAGCCCTGACTGGACTCAAGTTCTGAGTGAGCCTCCTTCCTCAGTTTGCTGAGTGTGGGGATTTTCCCATACTAGGCTAGACTTTCCAAAGCCATTTAACAATTACATACTAAGCAGGGTTTCGTTAAAACAGAACTCTTTATGTCTCTGACAAACAGATTGACTTTCCTAAGCTTAATAACTGTGCTTAGAAACTTTTATATCAAATAAAAATTCAAATTTTAACTCAGTGATATTCTATTGATAATAAACAAATTAATGTTAAATGTGGGATTATTCTGTTTAAAAGTTTAAGTTCTTTTGTCACTTGGACAATTGTCAAAGTCTGTGCTTCCCAATTAGACCCCACGATCCAGCAAAACAAGAATGCAGAATTCTGTTCTCCTGGAAAAATATTATATATGTATATGACTACTTAGATGTTGAAATTCAAAGCCATATTTGATACAGCATTTTAATGCACATAAAAAACCTCAAAGAAACCTCTCAACACATTATCATTCCTGATATAGAAATCACATGAAATATGTGTTTCTGTGATCCATCAAGTGAATCAAAAAATCACATTATGAAGCTAGATTTTTATTCCTTTGTGAAAAGTGTGCTAGGGGTTAGTGCATTTTTGTTGAGCAGCAAATCAACAAAAGGGAGTTGAGACTAGATAACAAATTTAATTAACCTTAAACTCAATTATAAATGCTTCAGAGTAGATAAGATAGATTGACTTTTTTTGAAATAATTTTTGTGTTTTTATTCCACTTTAAAGAATACTATTACACACATTCTTTGGTTTAACATTTTTCTTCATAATTTTTCTTTTGTTTCAATGTATATATCACTCCAACTAAGGATAATAAATATGGGGGTTGTGGACATGCCTGTAATTATAGCACTCTGAGAGAGGAGGAGGAGGAGGAGGAGGAGGAATAAAAGCAGGAGGAGGAGAATTATAAGTGTGATCCAGGCCATGAGAGCCAGACACTGACTCTAAATAAATAAATTGAAAAGGTCTGTGAATGCAGTTCAGGGCAAAGGTCTGGGGTTCAACACCCAGTACCACCCGAGGAGGGGGGAAAAACACATAGAAAAACACCTCTTGTACAGTTAATTTCCCCCCTTTTCCTTTTAAAAATTACTTGCTGCCTCTAATCTCACCTATTCAGGACCTTTAATTATATTCCTCCTCTTGTAGCATTTTCTGCCAATTAGTTAACTAGAACTCGAAATAGATCCAGATTCTACCAATTTTCGCATCATTTTCATTGCTACTGCCAGGGTTTCTGTCACCCTTAACTGTCATTTACAGTATTGCAAAAGCCTTCTCACTGATATCCTGAATTTTACATTTATCCTTGAAGTCAATTCTTCTCAAAGCAGCCAAGATAATGTTCTCTTTTTTCTATTTTTAAATCACGCTGTAAAATTTATTGCCAAAATAATCTAGTGACCTTGAAATGTCACTCACTTAAAGTATGTCAGAATCCCTTATCGGCATCCCAAAGGTTTTCATAACCTTGCTTCAATTTCTTGGAAGGAGTTTACCTGAGTTTTGACACGGACTTGCTGTTTACAGCTTCTCTCAGCAGAAAAAAGGTGTGTTCCCAAATGCCCAGGCCATCAAGGAAGGGGAAAACTGACAATTCATAAAGTACGGAAGGTGGCATAAAGTAGGAGGCTTTTTGAAATCTTCACCATTATGCACATTCTTTTGTGCAGCTGACTGTGACCACATGACTAATATCGTCAGCAAAATGTTTATTGCCTCCCAGTAGAATTTACAAAAGCCTCTCACAGATTTCTTCATACTTTTTCCCCTTCTTGGCTGGATTCAAAAAATGAGAATCAATGGTACATTAAGAAATCTCATGCAAATATGAATTTTTTCCCTTCTAAATCACTGGCATTTTGGGCAGAAGTTGGGATAACTACTTATTTTTGTGTTTTATCTATTATTCTTTTACTATTCCTATAACTTCAACCTAAATCTGTTAATTTAAGATTTATTATTATCCTTGAAGAATGCATATATTTATTATTAATAGTATAATTAAATTTTTTGTATGCAAATCTCATAATGAAAAATATTTTATAAAGGCATTTTATTTCTGTTTCACAGAATATCATGATTATTAAAACTTTCCAATCTTATCTATGTATGATTTGCATCTTTTTATATTCTTTAATTTGCTATTTAGAAGATTGATTTTCTTTAATGTACAATACCTTCCACTCCTGATGAAACAAATGCTTACTTTTCCAGGTATGATACATAATTTTTAACAGTATTTTAAGATAAAGTAGTATTTTTCAATGAACTGTTTCATTCTCTACTTGATTCTGTATTTCTATTTTTTGGTATTAAGCCATTTAAAATGTAGCCTTTAGAAAGCTTGTAGTTCTCTAGTCTACTTTTTTCCTCTCTTCAATCAGGCTTTCAAATTACTTTCCCCATCTAGTCTTAGGTTTCACAGAGGTGATGTAATATTTTAAAATGTACAGTAGGATTGCAATTTTTGTAATTGTAAAAATAATAAATAGCATACATTTGGAGGACCATATGGTCTCTATGACACCTACTCATGTTCCCCATTGTACTTTGAAGGCTTGTAAAGATACACAAAAACTAGTAGACATGGCTTTTCTCCAATACAATGTTATTTACAAAGGCAGACAGTGGCTGGAATTATTTCACTGACTACTGATCCAAAACACTAACGCAATTCTCCTGTAGCTCTGTATTTCTAAGATCACTTTGAGTCCAAATCTCACTTCATTGGTCTGTCATCTTCCATTCAGATTTATCAAAACATTTTTTTCAGAAATCATTGCTTCTATATCCCTTTCAAGTTTCAATACTAAAATTGTTTGGTTTCAATGATGTGTAAATTATTTTCTTCATGTAAGAAAAGGGTACAAAATATAACTGGAGGTTTTAGAGTATAAAATGCATATCTATTTTCCAACTTTTAATTAAATGATTACTTGTTTCAAGTAATTGGTGTGTTACCAATTTTCCTTCAAATGACGCAGCCCTGTCTCCTAACGGACGTGTACAATGCTAGTCTAAAATTTTCCTTTGTATTTAATTTTTTTCTTTCTGGTTGTTCATAAGACTTTCTTCTTAACTTTACAATTTAAGCATTTTCTCAATAAATGTGTAATTGGTCTATTTTATAATACTATCAATTTATCAATATATACCAGGTTTTCAACATGAGAAATTACTTTCCGTATTGTTGAATCTTATTCTTCCTTGTATTTTTCCCCTTAAAAACAATCATCACTCAAAACATAGATCTCTATTGTATGTTTGCTTTTATCTTAAATTTCCATTGTGGTTTCTGATTCAGCATTTTTTCTGTTTTTGGACATATTTCCTAGTTGACTTCCCCAGCTAACAGTCATACTCAAAACTGACAATGTGTTAAAGTTATGTGCAATTTATAATAACTTTTAAATCTATTATTTCCAGGAGACTTTGGATCATTTGTATATAATTATTATTAAAAGGCATTTATTATTTCTTCCTCAAAATATCATCAAATCTTCCATTTATTATTGTAACTAAAAACCAACTTTTATTAAAATGTTGCTTGCTTTCATATTGTGGTCACTGAACAATATGAGCCTGACTAATTTCATGCAATTAAATGTTTACTCAGTCCTTCCCCAGCTATTTGTTAAGTAGGGTGGAGGCCAATTGTTCACTTAATTTGAAAAACCTTGGAGTAGTTTCCTCAAGCACAAAGACACTCTTGGAGATGAATAAATTTTTCATTATTTTTATTGCAGTGATAGTTTCATATATATGTGTTTAGCTACTTATATATTTACAAATATATCAATATATTCACAAATACATATTCATATATATTTGCAAAACATATTCATATGTATATTTGCAAATATATATGTAAATTTTTGATGTACCATTTATTAAATTATGTCCGCATAAGCACATTTTAAAAATTTAATTACAACAGCTTTCCTGAAAATTGTAACCCATGGAAGATCTCTATATACACTCACTTCTCCATTTCAGCATGGCTAAGATTTTGTAAGAAATTTTTTGTAATGTTCTAAACATGTAAATTTGATTTAGGTCTATTCTATACTATAATGTTTTGCAGATACTTCTGGGTATCTTTTACTCCTATTGTCAGTTCTCAAAGGTTGCATAAAACAGGAATTAAGTTATAAAAAAGATACTTTTAAAACTTTGAAATGAAATGTAAATAAGTTGAATTTTATATATAGATATTGAAAAACATTGATGTAATAAGCAGCAATGGACTATACTCTCTGATACTATTACTTGAATGTTTTAGTGTTAGTATATTGGCAAAACATACTTTTCCTTAATGATGTTACATGT